AGAAGTGTAAATGGTTTTAAGCAATCCCAAGAGATCCTTGATGGGATCAGTACATGCACAAGTCAAGGTGAAAAAGAAAAAAAAAACAGGAGTTCAGGCAAGGGGTGTTGCAAAGACAGCAATTTTTTTAATTAGCTGTCTGAGTAAAGCCCTGCACTCTCGCCAAGAAGAAAAGGAAAGTCTTTGCTTGGGGCGACAGGTCACATCTAGGCCCAGCCTTGTAACACCACATGCCTTTACCCCACCCAAGGGCCTCACTGGGAGCTGTGGGGTTTGGCAGTGAGCCACAGGAACAAGAGAAATGCCGTGCAGACCTTCTCTTGAAATGAGAGCTGGAGTAAATAACGGTGGAAGGAAGTCAGTTTTAGCTGCTGCTGAGGTACCTCTCCCCTACAAGTGTCTCTTCCCTGTCACTCCAACACCTCAAGTAGTCCTTCTAACTGCCATCAACGGCACCTTCACAGCTTCACACTGACATAGGGCAGGGCTAGATCAGATACTAGGGAGAAATCCTTTCTGTGAGGGCAGTGAGGCTCTGGCACAGGTTACCCAGAGAAGCTGTGCCCCATCCCTGGCAGTGTCCAGGGCCAGGTTGGACAGGGCTTGGAGCAACCTGGGATAGTGGAACCTGTCTCTGCCCATGGTAGGGGATTGGAACGAGGTGATCTTGAAGGTCCCTTCCAACCAGGTCCCTGCCCACCCAAGCAGGGCCAGGCCATATCCCAGGCTGACATCCAGACTCAGCAACAGCCATCTCTCCTGGCATTACGTAACCCTTCCCTGGCAGGGTGGGAGCCGATGGAGGGCTGTGTCCGCAGGCAGGGCTCACCTCCTCACCTGCACCCTTCCCACAGCCTGCCTGCCCCGAGCACCTTCCCATGCCCTTTCCCATGGACACAGCCAGCTGCACCCCGACAGCCTCCGCGACAGGCCCCCAGCTACGCACGTTTGCAAACAAAGCAGTAATTAGTTCTGTGTTAAATTAATTTACCTTTGCAACTGCACTATGTGGGACCTAAAGGCGCTCCCTGCAGCATTGGAAGGGCAGAAAAAGGCCTGCTTCAGCTGACCTCGCCACCCAGGACCAATCCACGAGTCTGCTGACCAGTTCTTGAAGACCAAAACACCAAAACTCCCATGCATTTATGGTAAAGTCTCCCTGACCACCTTCCCTATGTAAACACCGATACAAAAAAACCTAAGCTCTTTGGCCATCCTGCCTAGTACTTCTCACCTACAATTGTTGCTCTCACTGTGGTGAACTGAAGCTAAAAGCTTCTGGAAAATCAGGAAAGAAACTGGATGGCTGAAAAATCCAGTAACACCAATAGGAAGACTCTTGGCACAGCTCAGCCTGTGCTGCATCTGCTCTGCTAAGTAGGTTCATTTATTTCCACCCTGTAGCTGTCTCCTAGTATTTATAGTTGCTGCCTTAATGAACTTTCAAGGTAGATACCAAGCCTGAGCCTTCCTAAATTGATGTTTAAATATCCTTGTTCAATTAATTCAATCTTGTTATGAACGGACGGTTCCACAGTCAGACTGGCAACTTCCACTCCTCACTGGAAATCACAGAATCACAGAATGGCCTGGGTTGGAAGGGACATTAAAGATCACCCAGTTCCATCCCCCTGCCATGGGCAGGGACACCTTCCACTAGCCCAGGTTGCTCCAAGCCCCATCCAAACTGGCCCTGGACACTTCCAGGGATGGGATATCCACCACTTCCTTGGGCAACCTATCAACTGGGACATTCCCACAATAACTTTTTCCTGCAAGGCAGGAGCTCCGAGTTTGGGAAGCAGTACCAGCCATTTACTTGCCTCCAGCGCAAACCTGATCCATCCAGCCCAAACCTCACCTTCACCAGGACAGGCTCCATCCAAAAGGGCAGCACAAGCCTCAAACAGCTTCTTACTGAAATGACTGCTGCAAATGCTCCTCCAAACTCACATCTGAGGGATTAAGAGTGGTTTTTCACTAAAACCCTCAAGAACTACTGCTGGTGGGTGGAAGAAGAATTCTCTGAGCCAACTGAAAACCTTTACAAACCTTTCATGGGACAACATATCGTCCCTCCCCTCTCTCTTGCCAAATGGGTCCTCTTATCTTTCCTTTTAGGGATTCCAAAATTTAGATTCTGCAGTTATATTTATCCACCTGGCAACATTTTGACTCCTGACAAAAATCAGGGTATACTCTCTTCAGGGATGTAAGCACTGAGAGAATTCTATTCCTTGGCAGCAACAATTTGTCAGATGCACAAAGTCAGTAAAAGTACTGCAGCCCCTGGGTTTCGGCCAGGGAGGTGAGCCAAACTGACCTGGAGGGCAACCACACAAGGAGAAGAAACCCCTTCCCAGATGAAGCAGAGATGCATTTCCTCATGGGAAAATCTCTGCATGTCTGCAGTAAAGAATGAGGAAGAGGGAAACAGACTCGGAGAAACTTCTGTCTGCCTTCCTTGTTCCTCCCTTGTCTCATCCCTTGCAAGCAGGAGCAAACTACACCATCCTCTTCGTGCTGAGGTAAGCACTGGCCAACCCCATGAGGCAGCGCCAGGCAGGATAACCACTGCTAAAAGGTTTTTCCTCCTTGCTGGCCCTAAGTGGAAACCAGGGCCAGGCTGGTTAAAGGAGGTGCTGGGATGTTTCACCTGGAAGAGGGATTTGTCATCATCTGCAGCGTCAGCAGTCCTGCCTGAGAACCAGGGCGTGAACGCCAAAGTTCTGTGAGTGCAGAGACAGCCCCTGCAGGCCTGGAATGTCCTGAAAGGGTTCTGCGGAGGGAACATCGCCTTCCCGCCTCCTCCTCGGTCTATCACAGCACCCCTGTCTGGATTTGTGAAGAAGGCATCTTTCCCAAGCAATAATTTCCTTAGGATAAAACAGATCTGTACACGTTCGATCTCCAGATGGGAGAGCTGAAGGTTGTCTATAAACTACTGTAGTTTGGCTTGTTTGACTGAACTGGCCACAGATTAAAAAAAAAAAAATGACTGACGTTTCCATGCTGCACCAATTCCCAAACACAGAAGCGCAGCGTGACCAGTTTAGAACTGGGACAAAACTTTTCTAGGGGAGGCTTGCATTTCTGGACCTGCAGTTTTCACCAAAGAACCTGACAAATCAGGTAGGATATCGTGGTCCTTAGGGACAGACTATGAAATCCAAGCACCAACAACTGCATCAACAGCGCTTTCATTCCTGCTCTGCACAGCCCTTTACACATATTTCAGCTTCTGGTACCCCATGCTCTCTACTGACAGCTGCCTCAGATATATGAAATATAGTTCACTCCACCTTTCTCCCAACCTAAAGTTGCTGCTCAGTATTTCCCAGCTCTTTGTTTCTAATTTCCCTTTGGAAATTCAATTTGAGCCACCTACCCCTCAATCAATGCCTGTTATGGGATGAAGATTAAAAACCCGGGGTTCTAACTGGGATTTCTTGCCAGGATTGCCAGTACTGGACACCTGGTAGGTGCTCACTGGAGAGAACTGGACTTCCCTTGGACTCTCTTGTGTGATACAGCAGGAGGATAGAGAAGAAAGGCTTCTGAGCAAGTGAACAAAAAAGGGTAGGAAACACACGGTTCATGTTAGCTCTGAAGACAAGAGATTCAGAAGAGAAAAAAAAACAGGAATATGAGGCAAGCTGTAATTCAACACAGTAATCTGAACTACCTCTCTCCTTTACAGAGCTCTGAACTAACTGAGCCAGCTTGTAAAAAGATCTGGCCACCAGCGAGAAACAGCAAGTCCCTGCAAGGACCTGGAAAAGTATCCGGATACGTGAGATGGGGAACAACAGAGAAAAGGTCCCAGTGATGGGATATGAACACTGTTATGTGGGATACCTGGAATACTGAGTGCTATTTATGTGATCATATTCCAAAAATCTGCACTGCAAAGAGGTCAGAGGGGAAAAGACGATAGGAAAATTCCCAGATGGAGAGAGCTGGAAAGACTGCACATTTTTACATGCAGATATAAGTGTAGATGAGAACACACTAAGGCATAGAAACAACAGAGACAAAAAACACCATTAACTCTTCCTCAAATGACATAGAAACAATGATGGACGAAATGAATGGCAGAACGTGAAAACCTGATGGAAAAATGGGCTTTCCACCACGGGCACAATTAGCCTGTGGAAGCAAATCCCTTAGGATATTATACACTCAGAAACCAAAAAGGAATTTCTACAGGCCGGGTCACCTGCACACCAAAGAACAACAGAGATATAAATATAAAAATTAAGCTTAAAATATTTGAATTCTCAAAGCCAGGTCATTATGTCTTTTGGTGTAAAACCAACTCCTGGTTTCTGGGTGCTGACAAGAGAACTTTCTTGGGACAACCAGGGAACTAGAGCTAGGAAGAGCAAATGGATTCTGGGACTTGCCTTCCTTTCCAGGTGCTGCTCTCTGAAAAAAGTAACAGGGCATGCAAACCAGACCTCACCTGCCTATCAAAATTCAGATATTCAACCCCTACAGATACTCAAACATACAGCAATGCTACATTTCGTTCTTCTTTTTGTCTGCACAACTTTAAACTGGTTAATTACTGATGGAAAAAAGTTACTAGCACCACAAGTCAGTGACACACAGAGCCAAAAGCAAGAGGTGCTGGAATTCCAGAGCGGGTGCGTGCCCCAGAGCCAGGGCAGAAGCTGCAATAGATCTGCCCAGGCACCTACTCAGTTTTTGCCTTTGCCTGCTATCTCTTTACACACAGAGTCAAATTGCTTTTAAACAGTTGGCCTGTTCTTGGCTGACGTTCGCTCAGGAGCCAACTCAGGTGATACAGAGGGATGAAATGCCTGCTCCAGCCTGTGCCTTTTCCGAGCCACAGCAACCATTCCACAGCAACTGCCTAAGACTACTCCAACAGTGCAACGTGAGACGAGTGCTTTCATGGATCAAGTTTCCTCCTCCACGAGCAGATCCCTAGACAACAGACCATTGTAGTGTGTGACAACTGAAGCAGGACTTACTGAGTGGTTTAAGGATGCTGCTGCTCGTCTCATCGGCGTTTTCTATGTCTGATTTGTCCGAGTAGTTCTCTGAGATTTTCTCCTTTTCTTTCTTTTCTTTGTGCCCAGGTCTTCTCCTATGACGCCTCCTCCTCCTGTAGCTCTTCGGCACGTGGACCCCGATGTAAATCGTGTGGTGCCCTGGGAAAAACAAGCACACAAGTATTAATGCCAGCTCGGGGCAGTTTGGGCATCACTGGTCATCAAAGTTCATGCTGCCTTTCATAGAATCCCGGCATCACTGGTCATCAAAGTTCATGCTGCCTTTCATAGAATCCCAGACTGGTTTGAGTGGGAACGGACCTTAAAGCCCATCCAGTCCCACCCCCTGCCATAGGCAGGGACACCTTCCACTACACCAGGTTGCTCCAAGCCCTGTCCAACCTGGCCTCGGACACTTCCAGGGATGGGGCAGCCACAGCTTCTCTGGGCAACCTGTGCCAGGGCCTCCTCACCCTCATAGGGAAAGGTTTGTTCCATATATCTAACCTAAATTTCCTCTCTTTCAGTTTGAACCCATTACTCCTTGTTCTATAACTGTTTCACTCCAATAGGCAAGTGAACTATCCTTCTATGCTGGCCTAGCATTAATTAGTCCAGTTTTTCTTGCCTTCCAATGTGAGCTTGGACCTCTGTAGCTTCCATTTGGAAAAGTATTTTTTGTACCTTCATTTCTGAGAGCATAAGCCAGTGCAGACTCTCTGGTAATTTTTGTCCTTGTGACTCATTTAAATATAAAACAGAAGGCCATCATACTCATTTTGTAATATTGACTAGAGTGCTCTTCAAACACATTCTACACTAATTTTTCCATTTGTTTTGCCAAATACATCAGCTGGACTTAACAACTACTTTGTGCCAACTGATTCAGCTTAATTGAAGAGCTTAGGCCAACAAAATCTACATCACTTGACTGTGCAGTCTATTGTATAAGAAGTGTCAAAGTACCATTAGGTACCTTTATACAGGTGCCATTATAGAGTTACCACGTTCTAAGTACCATTAGGGTGCTGTTATAACACAGCAGAGGAGGAAGGACTATTCACAGAAGTTCCTGTCAATTCCTAAGTACTCCTCACTTTCCAAAACAAAAATTAACTAGTAAGGCAGCGAGTGCCAAATTTCATACGCTGCATGTAAACCCCGAGGATGCCTTTCCCCTTGCCCTGAGACTCTCATTTCAAACCAAAGCACTGCAGCTACATTTGCCAATTGTTATGTTGATGAGTTTGATAAAAATGTTCTATTTTCAGGGCTTTCTGCACTCCTGCCCCATCCAACCTGGCCTTGGACACTTCCAGGGATGGAAGAAACAGAAGTGCAGGGCTGAGCGGGGTTCAAACTCAGGCAGCAGAACAGTGACAGGAGAACAGTCCTGCGTGTGCTGCCTCCAGCCTGGCGTGCCAGCACTGCCATCTCCAAGGAATGGGATCACACCACAGAGGGAACAGGCAGAGCCACGGAGGCATCTGCAGCAAGACCTTCGGATCGACACCTGAAGATCCGATTTAGCTCTTGCGTGCCAAAGGAAACCCAGAAAGCTCTTCCAGCAACTGGAAACATCAGCTTTAACGTGGCAGATGGCCCCTAAACGTGCACAGGGACAGCTAAGGGGAGATCTTATCGGAGCACAAGCAGGAGAGGGAGGGTGGGGGTGACCCCGGATACACACAGCCCTTCCCAAGGGATTCTCACACCCAAGATTGTATCCAGAAGCCTGATGCAAAAGGTTATTTGTATTAAACGACATCCTCCTCTGAATCACTAGAATTCTGTGGTCAGCTTGATAATAGAAACACATCATAGTAAGCCTGTAGTCTTAATACTTTAATATGCTGCCAACAGAACTGGACAATCTCTTTAATCTTTGGACCACGTGTGCACAGTACAGATTTTGGTAACATGAAACTCAGTTGTATATACACAGGCAAACATCTGCATTACTTTGCTGCTTTTCCCTGGTCTGAAGGCAGAGACTTATTTAAGGTTGCTTTCCGTGTCCCCCCTCTGCCCCCTCCCAGTCTGTTCAGGGAGGCCAAGCAAGACATTTTCCTCCTCTGTGTACTTCAAGTGCTTGGCATCTGTTTATATTGTTCCAAACGCTGAGATAAACTTCTAGGCTCCCTTCCCAAAGCGCCTGGAAGGAAACAATTGACACATACTCTCAATGCACTGAGCTCCTGAGACATTTCCGACTCACCGGGGGAGCCCAGTCTTTCCCATGAGAACCATTGGCTGCAAAAGGCAGTGCCTGAGAAATGTAACGTGGCACACAGGCACCAGGCTGGGATCCTACGGCTTGGGGACGATGGGAAGCACAGAGCCAAGTGCTGAACTGCTCCTGCTAATCCAGGTCCACAGTTTCGCCTTGTACGCCCAACACAGTTCCTCCGGAGGGGCTGCTCCCATCGCCCTCCCCGCTCTCCCCAGGGAATCCATTCCCCTCTGTGTGCACCTCATTAATTTTTAGAGCTGTTTTGGCTGACCAGGATGTATTTCACAACACTCCAACCCCACCTGCAGGTCCCGGTGGCACCGGTTCTGTTCTATGGGACAGCGGTGGGCTGGGCTTCCTCGGACTTACACCAGCTGCTGCTAAAACCCTTCAAGTTTGTGCCCAAGGAGAATCTTTACTGTGCACCAAGCTCACAGCAAAATCATTGCATCTGATTATTAATCAAGCAAGAAGTAGTCATCATCAGGGAGGTCCTCCTGGAAAAATTCAGTTGAAACCACATCTTTTGCTTCATTAAGAGCTGCTGAAGAACAGCAGTTCATGATTCAGCACCCAGATTTGGAGTTGGGGCACAGCAAACTCCTTGAGTCAGTTCTACTGGTGAAAACTCACTCATGTGTCACCCAACTGAAGTTCTGTGAAATGCAGCATTCCCTCCCCTTCCCTGCCTGCAGGAATATCTGGTCCTCCTCCTCAAGGCCAGCTTGGATGGGGCTTGGAACAATCTGGTCTAGTCAAAGATGTCCCTGCCCATGGCAGGGTGTTGGAATTAGGTATCTTTAAGGTCCCTTCCAACCCCAAACCATTGTGAAAGATCACTTTATTTATCATCCTCTCCATTTTTAAGCACTAACTCTTTTAAGAAAAGGGTGACAGTGGAATGGCTTTTGCTCAGCAAAACCAAAACTTGGTCACTTGGAGAAAGGAGCCAAAAGTTACAGGATCAAAAGATAAAGTCTGCCTGCTGCATCTAAGAAGGAATCCCTTCCACATGACTGGGTTCTTGAGACTCAGAGCCTGGTCAGACCAGCTCATAAAGAATCTCACAGAGGCACCTCAGAAGGAAACAAGATCAAAATCTAATATTAAAAATGCATAAAGGACTGAAAATGAGCTGAGCATCAGCAGTTTTCACCCAGCCCTTGTTCCTCCTTTCAAGGCTCCTTTCCACTGAACAGGGAGAGTCACATTAAACCCGGTGAGCCCGCAACAGGCTCACGTGGTTACACATGACATGTCCACAGAGCCAAAAACCTTCTCCACCAGCTCTGGCCACTCCCACCCCCTCCCACAGTGGGCACCTCCTTGTCCCCAGGCTCTCCAGGAAGACTGGGACAGATGCTTTGGGTCACCTGCACCAAGGGCTTTGCTTGGGGAGGAGGCACACAAGAGGGGCAGGGGACACAGCCTGCCACATGCTTCGTCAGCAGAAGACGGCACAGCTTTGTGGCCAAGGTGTTGGCACGTCACCAAGCCTCCAGAGATGTGGTACTGGCCAGGACGCTGCCGGGATCGCAGCCAGGCTGCTTTTCCAACCGGGGGGTGGCGGCAGAAGGTGCTTCTCATTTTGTGTGAGAGTCAAAGGAAATTAATGACATAAAAAGCTGATGGCCCAGAAGGACAAATAAATCAGAGGGATGATCCATTTTAAAGGGGAGATACTAAAAGTAGCGCTAAGGAAGTCCCAAACTAAGCCCTGCTTAGTATCAAATCAGCTCAAGAAATAAGAATAAAAAGGCCACGCCATCACGTGCCTGGTGCCCTTAGCTCTACCTGGTTTTAACAGGAATTACAGGTGCTGGTGGCAGCAGAGGAGCAGATGCAGGGCCTACATCCTGACCATCTCCCCTCATTAATGCACATGGACACAGACACTGAAACTCCAAAGAAAACCAAGCCATAACCAGTTCTCTAGATGGGCTGCCCTGGCACAATCCCAGGCTCACCCACTAGTCCCCATAGGATTTTCAGAACATCCTGATATTCAGGGGACCAATTTATCATGCAAGTAAAAACCCATCGATCAGGGAAACAGCAGAAGGATTCACTGATCACTTTGTGGAAATCTGAACATACCAGTTGGAGATATATCAGATCCAAATCCCTTCTTCCATAAACAACAGTAGTAGGCAATGAACTGATTCTTCCAGCATGTGGCAGTTTGCCAAGGAAAAGGGTCAGTGTTAATCCATCAGGCAAGAGAAACAACCACCATAAGGCTGAGTGGGGGCTTCAAAGCCTGATAAATGCCATCAGGAGAGGACCCTGCCCCGAGAGAAAGGCAGGAAAGGACAAAATATAAAAGAGGCTTCAGGAGAGACCACCCTGAGCTACTGTGCCATGGACAAAGGAGAGAAGAAGGGACAAGATAAGAACAACAGGGATTCTTTTCAAGTCTGCCAGCTCTGACAAAAGAACCCCACATTCATGGCTAAGATTCAAGAGAGGACCCAGCATCAGCAATGAAGATGCAGTTAATCAAAGAGGGAACTCGTCCAAAGATCATTTTATATATTTGCATTACTGCACTTCACATCCTAACATGCAGTCCCTGACTGAAATTCCTACAAGGGGCAAGGAATGAGCTGTGCAGGGGAAGACAGCATGGGAATTGGAGACTGGTTTTTTCTTCTTTTGTTAACATCAGACTTCTAGAACTTCAATATCTTCAAAAGGTCAGATTCATCTTCATGTAAAGTGACCTCCAAAAGGTTCCCAAGTAACACCACCATGGTTAGGCAGAGGGAAAGTCTTCCCAGCCATCTGCCTAAAGCTTGCACTCCTCTGTTCCAAACAGCTGATGGATGACCCAGACTGGACCTGTTGGATTCCTAACAAGATCCAGAGGCCGCTCCAGTGAAGCATGTGTAAAAGGGGAGTTAGCCCTGAGCAACAGGATGGCTTT